TGTCCAGCTACTTAGGGTGGGTAACACTCACACTCAGGTTGAACCTTCCCATCATCCATAAACAGAACTATGGAAAACCAATAAGTGGACTAATTTAGTAATTATACACCCTTAATCCTTTAATCACACACTGTAGATCCAGCCATCTCTGAAAAAGCCCCACCTATGACCCCATCTAGACACAAGCCATAACAGAGGCTGAAGCAGGAGGATCACAGGTTTGAAGAAAGCCTGGCAACTTGGTAGGAGCCTATCTCAGAAAAGAAAAGAAAGAAGGAACAAAGAAAAGAAGAAAGAAAGAAGGAAAGAAGCGAGGGATGGAGGAAGGAAGGAAAAAGATTTGAGAGGCTGAGGCAAGAGGATTGCTGTGAGTTCAAGGCCGGTCTGGACTACATAGTGAGACTCTGGATCAAGAGAGACAGAGAACAAGCTAGGATTTTGCTTTGACCTCAACCTAGGATGGATTGTCTCCCTGACTCTACTCACACACTACCCTGTAAGCCTCTAATTCATTGACAGCACTGCTCAAAACTTCTGCCAAGTCCTCTGAGCCCACACAGTGAAGGAATACTCAGTGGTTCCTTTCTTAGAAGCCTGAGTTTTCCAGAGAAGAGCCAGGTGGGACAGGGGCTCTCGCTTCCACCTTCCCGGACTCTAGTTTTCTGGGGGAAACCTGATCCCACTTAAATTGGAGAGACTGAGGCTAGACACTCAGGCTGACTAAGACCCCTTGGGAGCTCCAAGATTATGATGCTTGAGGAGACAGCCTTGGGGAATCGAGTGGGGGACTTCCAAACCTGGCTGCACACTTTCCAGCCTCACAGTTCACAGGGCCCTCATGAGGAGACATCATCATCACAACCTCTACTTCTCCAGCACTGTTCCAAAAGTGTGCTAACTCATTTAATTCGCACCTTATGCAACCTAATGAGGTAGGTACTACTACTACTCCATTTCACAGATGAAGAAGCCAAAGCTCAGGGAGGTGAAATCAGCCAGGGAACTGGCAAGAATCAATAGTACCCTGCGAAAGCTTCACTAAGGACCAAGAGTAGGCAACCATTACCTCCTCTACCAGAGGAGGGAAGAGGAGCAACCTCTGCTGAAGAAGGTGGAGCCCTGACCAGGCGTGACCTGGACCCTTTGCTTTCTACCCTTCCTGCCCTCTGATTTCCCATCTATACCTTCTACTTGCCAAAGCCAATTGGAAGACAGAGGATGATGGCCAAGGTGACATAGGCTCCTGGGCACTGATCAGTGCAAAGATTGGACCTGGCTAAATGAGACTTCCACCTGCCCCAGGTCCCATGGCTGGCATGGGCTGGTTTGTAACCCAGGAGATCTGGATCCAAAGATGCCACAAAGTGCTAGAGGCAGGATGAGGCACAGGGTGGAGGATGAGAAGACTGGATTCTGGGGCAGGTTCTGCTGCACTACTCTGTCCCACCCTTGGTGAGATTCTAGGCCTCAGCTTTTCTTTACACTAAGCAGAGGTGATCTCTACTGGCACCCTCCACAGCCAAGTTGCCCAGACCAGACTGAGCCTCTTTGTTTCTACTTACCACCCTCATTACTTGAGATAAACCTGTTGCCAAAGGCCAAAGCCTCAGGCAGGCATGGAGCCCTTTCCCTTTCCCTCATCCCTGAGGAGACGTCTCCCAGCAGTTGGATAAGCACACCCTTCTTCTGCCTCTTCGGATTTAGGAGTTCTACTGGAAAGCCCCGTCAGGCTCCCTGAAAACCCCGGTGTCTCAGTAACTCCTTTTTTCACACTACCAGTATTTCCTGGGCCCACAGCTCAGGGGCCTCACCGCAAAGAGAGCAGGATCCCTCCTTGCAGTGAGGAGGTGTAGAGTTCTGCTTAGGCCGGATTTATAAACCCTTCCTTGGGGGATGCCGGTTGTCTTTGGCCTTCAGGGTCTCTGTACTATAAGGGGTAGTCCCTTTTCTCCCCTTCCCACCACACCCAACTCTACCCCACCTGTGTTTCCCCAAGCCTAGAAGTGCCTCACCCAGATTTTCAGAAAAACAAAATCAAGGAGAAAGGTTTAGCAAGAAGAGCTCATTACCAGAAATTAAGGCGGGGGTATGCCTTGGGGCCAGATGAGTGGGACCAGGCTGGCGGAGAGTCATTCTGAGGTACAGGCAGAAATATGCTCCAACCAAGTACAGAGATGTGCTCCAAGTACTCTAAGAGATGGACGCAGAGGTCCACATAGAGATGTCCGGGACACACAGCATGCTTACTCAGAGGAGCACAGAAAGGCAGTGGCAGAATATGGACAGAGCCAGAGATACGCTCCGTCCAAGGTTCAGACCTGCAGGGATATAACCAGGGAAAAGGGAAGACAGGCGCCATCAGAAGCACTAGAAATGCACAGTTGCATTTATGCACCCAGCCACACTTGCACAGGCAGGTGTTCAAAGGAACAGGAAACACGCTCAAGTTTCAGGGAGGCTGATTTCAGTCCAAGTCAACACTGTTAAGAAAAGATAGGTCATGGCCTGGGATGTAGCTCAGCAGCACAGCACCTGCCTGGCAAGCGTGAGACCCTGAGTTCTATTCCCAGTGCAAAAAAAAAAAAAAAAGAAAGCATGGGTCCCTCCAAAGTAAGCTGTGGGAAGGGACTGGCACAGAAAGGACTGGCCCTTGGGGAGCCACAATATGTGGCTGCTCTCCAGTGGGGTGATTTTCACATCTACCCTGGAAAATGGATTACATGGTAAGAAGATGATACTTTATTATATTTGCTGTAGGAGGTAAGGTTTGCATTTTCTTTCTTCCCTTTTTTGGTGGGGGGAAGTACTGTGTATTGAACCTTGGCCTTGTGTATGCTAGATAAGCACCCTGCTCCTGAACTACATCACTAACTCTGTTTTATTTTATTTTATTTACACAGGGTCATGCTAAATTTCCCAGGCTAGCACAGAACTTGTGATTTTCCTGCCTCAGCCTCCTGAGTAGCTGCGCACTTGCATTACAGGCTTATGTCATTGTGCCCAGCTGGAGGTGAAGTTTTCCTTCTAGAAAATTCTAACAGCCCTGGAAAGGTGGGGAGGCAGGAAGCTTTCCTCCTGCCCCTGGAGGAGTCACACAGCTAGGGCTGGGCTCTTGTCCCTGTTCATGCCCGTTGCTCCTGATTCTGGCCAGTCCTGCACTTTCTCATGTGGCCTGACCCTCTACCCTACATACTCCCTTGGCTGTGTGCACCTCTGCCCTATACACCTGGACATGTGGCTCCCTGCTCTGTCCTTCTATCCTTCCCAAGGGCCTTCTAAAATCAAGGCACAGCAAGACACACTTCCCCACTTCCTCCTTCCCCTCTCAGAAAATCTCAGAATAATGGAATGAATCTGAGGTGGAAGAGGATGCCGAATTCACTGACTTTTAAAAAACAGCTGTCAGTCAGTGGTGGTGGAACCCTTCTTTCTTTCTCTCCTTAACCCCAAAGTCACAGATGAAAAAGCCGAGGTTCAGGAAAAGAACATGAGCACTCCAATGTTACAGAAGAGAGAAGCCAAGTTGGGCCTCAAATTCCTAGCCCTAAACCCCAGCCATGGGCTCACTTGTCAGGGTCAATAGCCAGATTTGACAGAGGAGCCAGGTATGGCAGTGCATGTTTGTAATCCCAGGCTGAGGCAGGAGGATCTTAAGTTTGAGCCCAACCTGGGCAACTTAGTGATTTAGACCCTATCTCAAAATTCAAATTCAAAGAGGGATGGGATTATTTTGTTTATAGTCCACAAGTGAATTCACACTGGAGACAGTCCTTATAAATGCAAGGAATATGGGAAAACTCAGATATTCCAGTCATCTTCACAGACATGAAATGGCTCACTAGAAAGAAACCCCCCGTATGTCGTTCCCATACCCTTCAAATAAATACACGAATGAGTTCACAGTGTAGCAAAACCACATAAAGCTAAGCAACATGAGAGAACTATTCATATGTTCCATTTCCCTTCGAGTACGCTTTGGAGCTACCTTATCTATAAGCAGTGTTGTAATATTCAACTTTCCTAGTACTCATCAAATAAATGAACGGACTCATACTGTGTGTGAGTATGGCGGGAGAGGGGTGGGGAGCTGGTACTGAGTGTGGTGGTGCATGCCTGTAATCCTAGCACTCAGGAGGCTGAGGCAGGAGGATCATCATGAGTTTGAGACCAGCCTGTGCTACACATTAAATTCCAGCCTGAGCAACATAGACCCTGTCTCAACAAAACAGGCTGGGGATATATCTCAGTGTGAAAGCCCTGGGTTTGATCCCCAGTACAAAAAAAAAGAAAAAGTGAGAGAGGTGGGGGCACCAAAGGTGGGACCCCGTAAGCTGAAATGAAAGTGCAGCCATATTCTCCTGCTAAGATTTACTCTCGGGGCCTAGGTAGGGGACACACCCTCTGGCTCAGTTCCCTCCAGCATTCCAGACATTCCCCTTGGGGGTGGGAGGACAAGGGAGGTGCAGAGACCTGAAGTAGATTTGCCTTCTTCCACTCCTCCCTCCCAGAGTCCTGGCTGTGAGACCCCACTTTTGCCTTCCACTCTCTCTGGCTTTGATCTCATCCGCGAGGAAAAGCGCAGTCTCCCAAAGGCCCAAAAACACAGCCTTCCGAAGGCCCCAGGGGTTTTATGGCTCCCATGGGTTTAACTCTGCTGAAGGTCTCAGTCGGATTCAGTAAAGGAAGGCAGAAATACACAGTTTCTGGGGCTCAGGTTACCCAGCTGCTAGCATCCCGAGGCTAACATCAGTCCGGTACAGCCTCTGCCTAGCTGGGGACCAGGAGCGCAAGCTGAGAGGCTTGGTGAAAAGGTTATCTGACCTCTGAGTCTACCTGGGCAGGCCCAGAGTTTGACCCCCATACCACCCTGACCAGATTAGACACCCAGCTGGATACTCTGGGAACTTGTGGCCAGACACACTGAAGATCCTTAACTGACCCCGGGAAAATCACAGGACAAACAGATATCTGCACAATTGGCAATTTTAGGCATACATTTTATTTTTTTTTATATATATAAAAAGCAAAAGAATATACTGTTGAGTAGAGGATTAAAGAGGTGAAGACTCTCTTAAAGTGGAGTCTCCCAACCTCCATCCATAAGATTGTAACATCTGCTATATATTTTTTAAAAAACAAAATAAAAGCAAACATGAAACTTAAGACCTGGATTTCACACCCTATGTCATGCCTACTTTATGACAGAAACATGTTACACAGCTCCTACTCAGGGAATCTAGACCTCCAGACCTCCAGACCTGAGCAGGCGGCCCTCCTCCCAAAAGCCTGGAAAAGCCCCACTCAGAAAAAAGGGTAGACACACACCTACTCAGAAGCACACACAACTGGACCCTCCTCCTCCATATGGAGACCTAAATATGTATACCTTCCTACTTCCCTCACTCACAGAGGGCCACAGTGCCTTCTCCCTTGGGCTCTCTGCACCATTAGGATCCTTTAGGAAAGCTTGGTATCTTGCCCTGAATATCTGGGAAACCACACACACACACACACACACACACACACACACACACACACAGGACTGACTGCTGCCTATTCTCTCCCCTGTCCAACTGGGCAGGGTCCAGTGGGAATCCTGGAGGTTGTCCAGCTGGGGTTGACATGGAGGGGGACATGAAGGAGCTTCTAAGGAGTGGTCCCTGCACGGTCATTAATGCTCAGGGAAGGGACAGTAAAGGTACGCCCACTGCCTTCTCAGATCTGCTCCTTGTGCTTCACATGGGCCAACTTCACATTCTCCTGCTCGGTGGAGGGTGGGGGCTGCTCCAGGTGGCAGCTAATCATGAGTTGGTACACGAAGACACCTGCAATGGAGCCCAGGAGCGGAGACACGATGGGCACCCACCACCAGTGCCGGCCAGTCCTGGAGAACAGACATGTGTGGTCAGGAGAGGGGTGGGTCAGAGCAAAGGAGAGCAGGCTGGGGTAAGCTGGGTGGGCACTGTACTCACGTGAAGACTTCTGAGCCCCAGCCAGCGATGGCAGTGAAAAGGCGGGGACCAAAGTCCCGGGCAGGGTTGACGGCATAGCCGGAGTTGAAGCCCATGGAAGTGCCAATGACTAGGACCACAAGGCCCACGGTGAAGGCCTCCAGGCCACGGGGAACAGGATTGTTGTAGGGGTCAACAATGGCCAGCACACATACAATGAGGGAGGCCGTGCCTATGAACTGGGGAGTTGGGAGAACAGAATGAGGAACAGCTCTCTCCCACACTCTTACCCCATCATCTGTCCTCTGCAGTTCCTAGAATCCTACTGCCTAAAGCAATGGTGCAAGGGCCAGGGATTTAGCTCAGTGGCACCACGCCTGCCTTGCAAGTGCAAGGTCCTAAGTTTGATCCCTGGTACCAAAATAATTAATTTTTTAAAAATGATAAATAAAGCAATGGTGAAAGAATATTTGTAGTAGAACAGGGCATGGTGGTGCACTCAGGGAGTCTAGACCTTCAGACCTGAACAGGGGCCCCTGCACTCAAAAGCCTGAAAAAGCTCCACTCGGAAAAAAAGAGTAAACATACACCTATGCAGAAACACCTGTAATCCCAGCTGAGGGAGGAGGATCACCTCTAGCTCAAGGCCAGCCTGAGCCACATAGTAAGTTCAGGGCCAGCCTGAACTACAAAGGGAGACCCTGCCTCAAAAAATAACAGTAATAATAATAATAATGTTTGGAGTATAAGAATTCACTGGGGAGCTGCACATTATATGTTACCATGCTCCATACCCACAAATTGAGGAATTCTGCTATAGTCAAGGAGTCCTGCCTACTAGCCAGCTCATGAGCAGCCAGAGAATCTTGGTCGTCCTCCCTGCATTCCCCTCACACGTTCCCAATCCATACCTGATCAAAGAAGCCATTGACCATGTCCAAGTGTCCAGAGGGGTAGGTGGCAAAGATGCCAGCTGTGCCGTTGGGACCTGAGACTATAAGCTCGTTGTTGGCGAAGGCCCAGATTGCATCTAGTGATAGATTAGACCCAGAGTGGGTGAGGGAAGAGGCCTGAACCAGCCTCCCCTTTTAGGCTGGTCCTCCCCACCCTCTCAGAGGTCACAAGCGAGCAGAATCACTGCTGTATTACTCCGGGAGGCACAGCAGGGTGGGTGAAGTGGGTGGGGTGGGGTGGAGGACCTGAGACTGCTCTTGCCCAACTCATTTCTTTCCCCTTGTGCCGCTACCTTAGGCCTGTGAGTGAATGAGTGAGTCATGAGCCTGGGGCCTGGGCAGGACCCAGTTGTCTTGTCATCAACAAGTCTGCTATTAACAGGTCCCAAGCAAGGAAGGGGGGTGGTGGAGGAAGGCAGGATGGGAAATCTTACCATAATACAGCCCAAAAATGATCCCAGCTCCCAAGAAGGCTCCCAGCGTCTGAGCCAGGGTGTAGATGGGCAGCTTAATCCAGGGCTCTCGTGCCAGAAAGCACATGGCAAAGGTCACAGCAGGGTTCAGGTGGGCCCCTGGGTAGACAGGAGATAGGACCTATTAGCTATAGCCAGCTGCAGTGGGGATGCCAGGGCCCCCCACAGATTCTCCTCTCTGGTTCTGTCTGGCAAGAAGAGGCACAGAGAAAAACTTCTTGTACAAGACTGTTGGACTATGTAACAGGCAGGATCTTAATCTTGTGATCCTAAAGTAAAAGTTGAAGGTTCTAAGTGTCAAATTTCTTCTCCACCCTCCTCTCCCAAGGTGCTACGACCCCCCATTCACTGGAATATACCTAGTGGGAATGCAGAGGAGCAAAGATCGAGAGTGGAGTTAAAGACTTACCAGAGACCTGGCCAGCTATGAGGATGCCCAAGGTGACAGCAAAGCCAAAGGCCAGGTTGATGGTGAGGAAGCCACCATGTGTACCCCGGCTGAGCACTACCTGGGCCACAGAGCCACAGCCAAACATCTGTGTCAGGAAACAGAACAAGGAAGAGAGCGTGAGGTCCCTCTGAGCCCCAGCAACTCTCAGTCGGGAAGGAAGGAGTGAAGCCAGCTACCTCTACCTGCCAGCACCAGGAAGGCTGGAGGTTCTTCCTAGAATCCACGACAAATCCCTTCAGCTGTGATCGCATGTGCCAGACAAAGGAGATGTGACTTCCCGGCCCTCATGTCCAAGCTCTAATGATAGAACCCTATGAAAGGGACTGGAAGCAGGTCTATGACTATAATCACACTAGAGTCACTGTTTTTTCTTCGATCCCAAGAGGGTGTAGAGGAATAGCTTTCACAGTCATACAGCTCTTTCCCCAGCTTTTCAGGCCTGGCCAACAGGAGTGGAAGCTCTCCCTCATCAACAAGCTACCCTAAAGAAGAGCTCAGGAGGTGGTGGTAGCGGTGATGGGGGGTGGGGAGGTAGTGAGTTGGGAAGAGGCCAGAAGTGGTGGAATCTATTTCTAAGTCTAGGAGGTCAGAGGCCTGGCCTCACCATGTCCCTTTATCAGCACATTCACCTTCCTTGGTCTGTCTCTGTCCCACCACCTCCTCTCCACCTGCCCTGAGCTCTCTGCTCTCAAGAGATCCAGGCCCTCCACTCAGCTGCGGAGGCCCTTTAACACAGGCTGAGTGGGGCTGGGGATTTAGCTCAGTGGTTCCACCGCCTGCCTTGCAAGTGCAAAGACCCGAGTTCAATCCCTGCTACCAAAAAACAAAACAAAACAAAAAAAACAACAAAACAAAACAGAACGTACTATGTGTCTGTTTCCCTTGTTCAAATGTGAAAATACTTCTGCATTAGCTATCACTAGCTATTGCCCTGAGCCCCTAGCAAACTCCAAAGTAGCTCAAGTCCTAGTTTCAGGTCTCCTCACCTACTTTTCTATTACTAAAGGTGCTATGCTTAGGGCCCTGTACATTCTAATGGGGCAGTGCCTGTGTAATGAGTTCTTAAGTATTTTGATTATCATCTGTCAGGAATACCAAGAGATGTGGGAAAGCCAAGGATGCTGACGCAGGGCAAAGATGCACAGGCAGGTGAGAACCAAGATCAGAGATTGTGAGTAGGGGTGAACAGGGTAGGGCAGGCACATGGGGTCTAGGAAGCTCTGCTGGACCAGGCCCTGGCCTCAGCTCTTTGCCTGCCTGAGGCCCAGACCTGGCTCCATCCCAAGAGGCCTTGGAGGGAGGGGCTGTCGAGGCCAGTTCTACCACCTTGAGGCTAATCTTCCTCTTCCTTCCCTTCCCCCAAGTTCTTGGCCAGCCCCCACCCTGCCTGCCTTACTAGGTATCTCAGAGAAGGGGCTTCTCTCTCTCCAAAGCCAGCCCCGATGTGCCACTGCCTTCCCAGATCCCCAACCTGTAGAACTATGCAAGCAAGCCCTCACCCACCACCTGAGGATCCCCCAGGGCTGGCCCCTACTTGTTGGGCAGGCCTGATGTCCTGCTTTTCACTGACACCTGATGCCTCTCATCCACCTGAGCCCAAAAAGCCTTTACACAAACCTAACACCCTTATTTTGTGGTCTAGAATAAGCCAAATGATCCTGGGGCTCAGGGAGAGAACTGGCTGCTCCTTTTGGGGGGGTAAACTGATATGTGGGAAGGGATAAGGAAGCCCCTTTATGAAATGGAAGACCCCTTGCTTTGTCCTGCCCAAAACAAGTGGAGTCATGAGTTAGAGGAGGGGGGGGCTCCAAGGCAGGAGGATAAAAAAGGCATCTCCCACTTCTCTTCTTGGCACAGGGGAGAGAGGGGGTGGGGACAATCGATATGGTCACCAGTCTTATGAAGCCAGAGTATGAGTCCCCCTATCCCATTCTCTAAACCCTATTTACTCCCTAGTTAAGCTTCCTAGTCTCCCGGGGACTCGCTGGTCTGTATTATGTAGGACTGAGGCTGGGGCTGGAAACAGTAACCTACCCACTGCGATGAAAGAACCAAATCTAGTAGAAACCTAGAGGAAAACACGTGTGACCAAATGAGAAGCTGAATATGAGAATAACTGGCACGGGAAATGTAACCCGTGCATCTGCCAGACTCAAGAAGTGCACACAATCACCCAGGAACGCCTGAGGGTCAAGCTGGTAGAACCAAAGAGCAGCTGGAACTGAGAAGAAAGTCAGGGAAGGGGAGTATCTCACTCAGAGTCCATGGTGGGAATAACTGATGGCCAGCAACTTTCTGCACAGAAGTTGACAGCTTCTATTTGGATAACTGACAGGGCCTGGGAGTCACTTTGCAGGAGGGGAGCAACTTTCAGAGACACCACAACCTCTGCGTGAGGATCCAGCTTCCTCCCACAGCCTCCAGATGGACCTTCCCTTCTTCCTGCTTTGTTTTTTGTGACCCATATGGCCTGCGCCCTCTGCCCCCATTCATAGCAAACTGCTCTCACTTTGCTGCAACTTTTGGACTTTCTGAGGCTTAATTATTCATTAGGGACCAGACACCCAGAGCCCAGAAAACCTAATCGGGGTTCATCTACTTCTGTCCCCACCACTGCCTCCCAGGACTGAGCCTGGGAACCAGGTGGATCTGGGGAAGCAAGAGAAAGGGACAGGAGGGATACTTTCTGCAGCCTGTGGGCTGTCACCAGCAAGGAGGCAGAACCGCCAGTGGGGAGTAAGAGCTGTCATCCTGACCAGAGTCAGAGCTGTCAGAGCTGGGGTTAGACTCGTGGGGAGGAAGGCTTCAGCTCAGCCCCTCGGGGTTAACCCCGGGAGTCGCGAGGGGATTGGGGCTATCTCAAAACAGTCCTACCTGCGGGCAGAGCTTTGGGGCATACGGGGCCTGAAGGGTGCTGCCCGGCTCTCCCAACTCACCACGAGAATAAGGGTCCCCAGACACTCCGCCATCGCCTGGCGAAGCAGCCTGTAGCGGATGTGGATCATGTCCCCGCAGCGTGACATCAGCTCCTTCTGTCGACCCATGGCTCTGGCTCTGGCAGCGGGCGGTAGGTGAGTGGCGGGCGCAGCGAGCAGAGGCCAGGAGCGCCTTGGCGCCCGGCGCTTTAGAGCCCTCAGGAGCCCGGCCCCGACCTTGTGGATGTTTTAAGGATCGTTGGCATGGAGGCCACCACCCGCCGCCACCCGGCCTGGGGGCGTAGGAGGGAGAGCTGATGAGGAAGGTCTGGTGGGTGTGAGGAGCTTTGGAGAGGGGTGGAGGGAGTGTCACGGGGTGGGAGATTGCGGGGATCTGAGAGCCTGGTGTGTGGGACCAAGGCTGAGAAAGGAGCTACCGAGAAAGACCACGTGAGCTGGGCCAGGTGGCCCATGCTTAATCTCAGCACTGGGAAGGATGAGGCGGAAAGTTCGCCATGAATCCAACCAGCCTGAACTACACAGCAAGACCCTGTCTGAAAACAAAAAAACAGGGCTAGGGATTTAGCTCAGTGGTTCCGCTGCCTGCCTCGCAAGCACAAGGTCCTGAGTTCGATCCCGGTACAAATAATAATAATATAGAATAGAAGGACCTTGTGTGGGCCCACTCACAATGAACCCCGCGGGTATCCCACCACCTGGGGGATGGGAAGACTCTGCAGAAAGGGAAGGAACCCTGTCCAACTCCACAGGATGACTGGACCCAGCAGCAGGTCCCCAGAGAGCTGTGGGCTCCAAGTGAGAAGAGACACTCTCACGCTACAGACCTATGCAGGCACACTGAACACAGGTGAAGTTCCTTCCAGAATTCACAAGCCCTTCATGTGTAGCATGTGTTGGCCAGCTGTGTCCATACGTGACGTATCTCCCCCATGCCTGATCATGTCCGCTGGACATTCCCTATGGCGGTACACATGCCCATTCAATGAGGCTGTGCTGAATTTGTCACATATGTATCTGCATGCACTGCTCACATGGCTGTGGAGGCTGCGTTGCGGTTGTCCTGACACACCACATGCTACATCTTACCAGAAGGGTGAGTTCCAGCTGTTTTTAACCCTCTCTGCCCCTGCTCTGGATGATCTGACCTAGGAAGGCTCTGCCTCTTTAAAAAATACAATAATAACAAAGGGCTGGGGATGTAGCTCAGTGGCACAGGACCTGGAAAGCATAAGGTCCTGACTATGATCCCTGGTACCAACCCCCCCAAAAAATAACAACAAAAGGGTCAGGGATTTAGCTCAGTGCTTCCCGCTGCCTGTCTCAAAAGTCAAGGTCCTGAGTTCAATCCCCAGAACCCCCCCCAAAATTAAATTGGTCAAATTATAGGAACATTAGCCCTATTTGAAGGAGATTGGGGGCAACCTTGCTCTCTATGCTATTTGTTTGTTTGTTTATTTATTTATTTTCAGTTCTGGCATTGAACCAATAGCCTCACTTGCACTCTACCAGTGAGCTATACACTCCATCCCTAAATTGTATCTATTTAGATTTGGGGTTTTATTGTTTTGTTTTGTTTTGAGACACGGTCTCACTTGGTAGTTCAGGCTGGCCTTGAACTTACTATGTAGCCCAGGCTGGCCTCAAATTTGTGGTCACCCTCCTGCCTCAGCCTCCTTAGTGCTGGGATTACAGATGTACACCACTGCACCTGGCTCCTAAATTGTATTTTAAATATCATGGAATTAGGCTAACGGTGGTGGTAGAATACTTGCTTAACATAGATGCATAATATCCTATCTCAAAAAATTTAAAAAAGGGCTGGGGCTGTGCATGGTGGTACATGCCTATAATCCCAGTACCTGGTGGCTGAGACAGAAGGATAACTATTGCCAGAGGAGAACAAAGAAAGCACATTTTTCCAAAGCGACTTAATCAAGATGTGTTAATGACTCTGTGGACTTGTCCCCTGAGGAATGGCTGTCAACAATGAGGACTCTCAGTTCCAGAGGCCCAGAGGAGTGAGGTTTAACAGTATACATAGTGGACAGGGGATTTAGCTCAGTGGTGCTGCTGCCTGCCTTGCAAGTGCAGGGTCCTAAATTTGATCCCCAGGATCAAAAAAATACCCAAAATCAATATACATAGTGTGAAATTCATACCGGTGCCTGACCATGTAGGCACACACATGCACACATATAAGTATACACAGACAAATAAACCCCACACCACACAGCTTGCAATTATACACTGGCCTAGAGGTGGTGATTGGTCAAGTCAACTCTTTTTTTTTTTTTTTTTTTTTTTTTTTGAGACAGGGTCTCACTATTAGTTCAAACTGGCCTTGAACTCACAGCAGTCATCCTGCCTTGGCCTCCCAAGTGCTGGGATTACAGGTGTGCACCACCAAACCTGGCTGGGCTGGTAAATTCTTTCATGCTCATGAAATTCCATTCACATGAGATCCTGGCATTAGATTTGGACATATAAGGAACCATACATAAAGCTGTTTATGGCCCTTGACCCAGACAGTGCCAATGGCATATGTATGTACCTGTATGAACGAAGGTACCCAAGTTACCCCTTCCCCCAGGGTCATGATTAACCAGGAAGCCATCACCAAAATGCCTGCTCACTGGGTCTCTTGCCCACCTGTGACTCAAGAAAATCCTAGACTCCTGGTGTCAGAGCCATGGCCACAGGTTATGGGAGCTGGGGGACACCCCCTGCCAGGCGTCTCTCTGTGTTCCATCCTACGGTGTGTTTCTCAGATTCTCACTGCTTTCAGTGAGGCTGCCAAAGCAGCACAGGGCAGGAATTCACCAGCACTGAAAAAAAATAGGAATTCCCCAGCCATGCCACCAACCCTCATCCTGCCCCAGCCTTGCCCTTCTGGCAGCTGAATGTGGCCTGAGAAGCAGAGCACAGAAGAAAAATAGGGGTGCTCAGCCACAAGCAGTCACACACTGGGGCATGCACATACATGTGATTGTACTCTTTTCATATGGGCAGGGTTAGGAGGGGACAGGTCACACACACAGCTATGGATTTGTGCGTTTTGCTCACATACTCACCCATGTGTGTATGTGGGTATATGCCTGTCTGTCATCCTAGGGCTGCAGCTCACCACAGAGTGACACTGGTGGCACACACCTGTAATCCCGGCACTGGGGAGGCTGACGCAGGATGAGTTTGAGGCCAGCCTGGGCTACATAGTGAGTTCAAGGCCACGCTGAACTACATAGCAAGACCCTGTCTCAAAAAAAAGAGAGAGAGAGAGAGAAACCATAGAGTGACTTTGTGATCCTTTTTTTTTTTTTTTTTTTTTTTTTTTTTTTTTTTAAAACGAGTGGGGTTTTTTTTTGTTTTTTTTTTTTTTTTTTTTTTTTTTTGGTTTTTGGAAACAGGGTCTCACTGTGTAGTTGAGCCTGACCTGGAACTCACTATGTAGCTCAGGCTGGTCTCCAGTTCACAGCAATCCTCCTGCCTCAGCCTCCCAAGTGCTGGGATTACAGGTATGTGCCACCACGCCTGGCTTGTGATCCCTTTTAGTTAATTCAGGTCCATGCCAAGGCTTGAGGTTTGGCAAGTGAAACAAGGGCTGGATTTCAATGCCTTTGTTTCTTGTACCCTTAACTAAGGTCCAACATGGAGGACTATAACCCTGTGTACTCCCACCAAATTCATTCGTATTCATAAGTAGGATGTACACACATGTTCACATAGGTATATATATGCCATTGGTCAGGGTTGAAGCTGAGAAGGTATGAATGCTTCTTATTGGATGTGGAAGGACCCTGTCTGGAAGAGGGAAGGATACAACGATTCCCAAGGCCCCCGAATCCTGTCAGCCTTTCTTGAGCCATTTGGGATGGAGAGGGGCCAGGGGATGCCAAACAGATGTGCCAGGCTGGCCTGACCATGGGCAGAAGCAGGGCTACCTTCTACCACTCTGGGATATTGGATCATTCTCTTTGTGATTGGCATCCTGTGCAACAAAAGCCAGAAGAAAGTGTCACTTCACAACGAAGCACTTTGGTGAGGTCCCAACCCTCTGAGTCACACAGATTTTCTAGAGGCTTTTGGGCTTTGTCTTGTGCTTTGGCAAGGAGAGTCAGGGTTGAGTGTGGGCCAAGAGCCAGTGCCTCTAGGAGCACCAGGAGAAGGCAGATGGGGAGGTCACATCTCCTCCCAGGGCATCTTGAGCAAGGCCTGTGTCTCACCTGGGTGGGAGGCTGAGCCAGGAAAAGGGCAGCCGGTCCTGTCATGGGAGGCCATGACTCCCTTAAGGCCAGAGCTGGAGGGATGGGTTTGCAGGAGAAGGAAGAGCTAAAGTACAAGTTCCAGCCTGCTGGACCAGAGGGGCTGGCTAGGACACTTTAAGGGATGAGGGTGGCATACCCTTCATTTCCTTTCCCCCAAACTCTTTCTGCGTGAATGAGACAGGCCTGAACCAGTAAAGGAGATATGGGCCTTGCTGTCAATGAGTCAGAGCTGAGAGTGGAAACATAGAAAGCAACTCAGAGTCCCACAGGTTCCCCCCAACCTCCTGACGTCTTACAGAGCCTTAGCAAGGACTGGGTGAAAAGCAAAGCAAAACAGACCTACAGATGTTTTCAACTATAGAAAATACCTCCTTTTACTTAGCAGAGCAATCTCTATAAGTGGGTATATCTCCTTTACTTTTCAGATAACCAAACTGAGGAGCAGGAGAGAAACCACCTGTAAATCCAGTCAGTTACTGATAATTGATCTGAGATTCAAACCAAATTCCATGGAGATAGGGAGGGTGAATGAGGAGGGTAGAAAGGCCAGGGAGCTGCAGTTCTGAGGTGCAGGGTAAGTAGGGCACCAGGACTGAGAAGCCCATTGAGCCCCTCCATTTTTGGCCCCCTATCCAGAGTGTGCCCCTATTCTTAAACCACTGGTGAACACCATCTCTGCTTCTGGGCTTTGGCGGGGGGGTGTGCCGAGTCTGGAATGGCATGGGGAGTGGAGAGCGGAGATTAATCACCCTGTTATGAGCGTCCCCAGACTGGGGGACGGCAGGCAGCTCCTCCTCCTCCACCAATACAGTTACCCTGTGTCTCCAAATAGGCTGGGTGGCCCAGGGCCCATAAAAGTAAAATCTTTTGGGGTACCTCTAGACAGATGTCCAATCAGATCTTGAGAAAATCTATCTTTCT